GAGTCAAATTGTGGCCAGTTCACAGGTCTTCACAGACCCTTATTTTCTCGTTGAGAGATCGTCGAGCGCGTTTCATCTGGCGTTTGAAAATAAAAACCGCAGGATATCAAATTGCTCAAAAAAAAAAGAAGAAAAAGAAGAAGGCAGAAAAACGACTCTAAACAGGCTAAATTGCGAAAAATCCCGCCGAGAAAGTAGCCTACGAATAATAATCCCGGGCGTCCGCAACACAGCCTAGCCATCCACCATCCACAGGTATCCGCGCTTACAGACACTTCAAAAGCGCGAGATGTATTTCCATTTCAAAAACATATCTTACAGACCGACTAGCAACAAAAACAAAATTGTTGCAGGGATGAATCGATAGATAAAAGGTACTACAATCTAAAAAAATATGTACGATCATGAAGGCAAATACATTTAAAAAATAAGATTCAAGTTAAAAGTCATCTACTTAGCAAAAGATTCAAGACTTATCAGTAGCGTTTTACACTCAGCTGGGAAAAATCAATATCATCACACAAAAATAATAGACCGGCAATGCTGCTAGACCAATGCGCGCCTGTAAATATACGCGTCTTCTTGTCCAGCATTCTAACAAAAAAAGCAACTGCGATTGTTAATTATAATTGGAAAAGCTTGCAATAACCTTGCAGGATTTTTATTCAGGCCTAAATGTGAGGAAAAACGCAGCAAAGTGAAATTCAGCGCTTGTGTCAAACCAACAGTCGCGAGCGAACCGGACATAGTTCACGAGAGGCTATCTCGGAACGGGGAATGAGGGGAATGGGAATGGGAATGGGAATGGGAATGGGGAAAGGGGAACGTGGAACGGGGAATCTTTAAAATTAGGAAATCTTTAAAAGCGGGAATCTTTAAAACGGGGAATCTTTAAAACAGGGAATCTTTTAATTTAAAAGCGGGAATCTTTAAAACGGGGAATCTTTAAAAGCAGGAATCTTTAAAACGGGGAATCTTTAAAATGAGGAATCTTTAAAACAGGGAATCTTTAAAATGGGGAATCTTAAAAAGCGGGAATCTTTAAATATTTAGAACAAAAGGACACTGTTTGTTAAGTTGGACTAATGTCAGCTTTATTTATCATTCGAAGCCAAATATTCCAGCTATTCACTTTTAGCACATTTTCTTGAATTCAAGTAAACCCATTTTATGAAGGATTTTTACCCCGAGGAATTTTAAAACCACGACAACATGAAGGTAAGTGAATTACAAATTTGAAACAACGACGACATAAATATTATTTCAAATATCATCTATGACATGTAAACAATATAACATGAATGTAATAATGACGTACAGTAATATATGTTTCGGGCCACCTTCAATAACATCAACAGTAACAGTAACAATAGCAACACAATGTATATGTTGTTTTCCTTGCTCTACATTAAATTGTACCAAAGATAAATCCGCTTTTAAAGATTCCCCATTTTAAAGATTCCCGCTTTTAAAGATTGCCCGGCATAAAGATTCCCCTCTTTAAAGATTCCCGCTTTTAAAGATTCCCCGTTTTAAAGATTTCCGCTTTTAAAGATTACCCACTTTAAAGATTCCCCGTTTTAAAGATTCCTTATCTTAAAGATTCACGCTTTTAATGATTCCGCGTTTTGAGGATTCACGCTTTTAAAGATTCCCCATTTTAAAGATTCGCGCTTTTAAAGATTCCCCGTTTTAAAGATTCCCGCTTTTAAAGATTCCCCGTTTTAAAGATTCCCGCTTTTAAACCCCATTTTAAAGATTCAGGCTTTTAAAGATTTCCCTTTTTAAAGATTCCCTATTTTAAAGATTCCCGCTTTTAAAGATTCTCCATTTTAAAGATTTCCCGTTCCCCGTTCCCCGTTCCTCATTCCCATTCTCCCATTTCCCGTTCCTTGTTTTAAAGATAGCCGTTCACGAGATAAATGGAAAACTAGACAGCTGACTGGAGAAATTTAAGAACAGGTACGCCCCCAAAATTGTTTAGAACAATCCTTTGCTTTGTAGCTTTAGTTTACAATTGATATTTTTTTCAGAACAGCCGTTTTGTGGAAATTATTCGACATTAGATTCTTATAGTGATACAAACACTGTAATTTCTCCCACATTTGCCTACTCATCAAGATGGCGTCGAAAACCGTGACAAGGTCTATCTTTCATAGAGTGTATTGAAGCCGAACATCTATCCTTACCTTTATAAAAGATGACACACCATATGAAATAAAACTTGATAAAACCAGCTTCTGTCGGTATTGGCATTTTACTGGCACTAAATTGCTTGCAGTCCGCCTCTTCCCTCAGCCAGCGCGATTACAAACACGTTGCAAACCACGACGTTGTGTTACAATAAAAGGATTAGGATGTCTTTACAGTGACCCGGAAATGAGTTAATACGCACAATAGAATCGGGACGATTGGATATAGTGTTACGCACGCACAATAAGTTATAACTTATTCAGTTATAACTTTTCCCAGAGTGAAATAGAAGTTTCTTCGGAAAAATGTTAATGAAATACTTTTTTTAGCCTACGTTAGTGGTAAAATGGCTAAGGATATGCCAAACGACAGGTTAAACAGAGCTAAGCATGTCCCGTTGTCGGATGACTGGCAACAACTACTTGCATCCCAGTGTTACGCGAAAAAAAATTGACTTGTGATCCCAGTCCCGGGGGGGGGGGAGGACTCCGTATGATGCGCTAGAAGACTTACAACCTTTTTTTTTTTTTAATTTTCTATACATTTGTCTGTTTTTTCAGTAGAATCCTTAAAAGTGAAGCTTTAGTTAACAGTTGATATATTTTTTAAAACAGCCATTTTACTAGCCTGCGAATAGCAAACGCATTTCCGGAAATTATTCGGCGTTAGATTCTCATACAAACACCGTAATTTCTCACGGGTTTGCCAACTAGTGAAGATGGCGTCAAAAAACGGGACAAGGTCTATTCCCAGAGGAAAAATGAACGGTTATGTCCTTGCGCTATGCCAAACCGTCTCGCAGCCCCCACCCAGCTTCTGCCACACATTGGTGCGCAATACATGAGGTCTTTTATCGTCCAGGCGGGAAAGAGTTCGATCGGATCGGAGCAGGATTGAAGACCTCTCGATATTAAACAATGCCACCAAAAAAGAGCAAGGAGACAAAGGTATGGTGTTTTCTAGTAGTAAACGTGATTTTGATTTCTTAAACTCGTGTTTGTACTTGTCCATAGGCGACGTTCTATGTGGGTAACGATCAATATGTTTCTCGCAATGCATTTATTCGATTTGCAGAGTTTTCCGGGAAGATATAGGTATTAAAAATACGTATCTCGCGGACAAAGCGATCATTGTATTAACAGAAAACATCCTCGTGCTAATGAAAATTGTTTGCAACGCTGTTAAACAATATTTTATTTAACATTAACTGCTTAGTTAATAAGCATTAACTGCTTAGTTAGACAAGCAAGTTAACGCCTCGTCTAGCTTTTGCTATTTACGGGCGGAGATGGCAAAATGATGTGTATGAAAATAAAGTACAGTGTTTGTTTAATAACGGCTCACTTGCTTTAGTGTACGCAATCGACCATGTTTACGATTCGATACCCGCCATCTTTTGGACATGAGCGATGTCACGTGGTTTTTTAGTAGGAAAAAACCAAACCGGCGCGGGGGGAATTCCTATATAACAGTGACGGGGATGCTTGTTGAGAACACCCCTAAAAGGTACCAGAATCTTGTTTTATGGGCGTGTCCCAAATTCATTTCAACCCCTAAGAGATACCAAATCATCAACAACAACAAATTGGAACTGCAAATTTTAATAGTAATGTATCTGTCAAATCGAAGCTTCAACATGCCCTCGCCGGGCAACCCCCCGGGCATTTGACTTTTTTGAAAATTATTGTTCAAATTCCTCCCTACCCAGGCCAAAATGCCATTCAAATGCCCCACACTCGGGTCCATTCAGGTGATCAGATGCCCCCACCCCGGGGACATTTCACAGGCACAAAAGTGACAGAAGGACGGCGGAAACGCCTTCAGTTGTCGAACAAAATCTTTAAAATATAGCAAAAACTGAGAAACACTGTTAGCGTATTTACTACAAACAAAAGTCTCGTGCAAAGCGGCGGAAATCACTGCTACAAGGTCACTGAATGCTGCAGCTTTTCTTCGTCATGCAACATACAAAGCGTTCTATAAAAAAGATCCCACCTATCGAGATTACTACATCATGACCATTTCACTGATATGCATCATCGCTCACCTTATTAATTAACATACTTGCAGTAGGTCAAAGTAGTTGACCTGAGCTTTTTATTTTATTTTATTTTATGTTGTTGTATTGAATCGCCCGTACAGGTATTGTAAATTTCATTGTAAACCCAACAATAAAATACATGCATACATTCAAAGCCTGAATCCAATATTAAAAAGTTTAAAATTTAAATTCTTCAAATAC